AAAAGTGAAGTACCACACTTGTATATGGTAATTTAAAAGTTGCAAGCTACTTGCCTTAAAGCTAATTTTTTTTTGTTTTTTAACATTGATTATTTTTTTAAAAAAAGTGAACTATCCCTCTTTGTGAAAATTTTTATTTGATATTAAAATTTGTGAATATCCCCCCCCCTTTTAATTTTACTTATAAGTTTGTTAAAGTTTTTTATTATAAAAATGGAAGAAAAAATTATAGATGCTACACTTGGTAGAAGTGAAAATAGATTTGCAACTATCACAAATCTTTACAAGTTCTTTAACACTCTTAGAATAAAAAAAAAATAACTGTTATCAATGTCAATTATAGAAGTATTATTTCCATATCTATAAAATAAGGTAACAATGAAGTCTATTGTCTATGCTAAGAAGTTGCACAATTGATAGAAGATAAACTTTCAAGGGGAACCAAAAAGCCTTATTATTGAAAATATGATAGATTCAAAGATTAATATGCTAGAAAATTTTAATAGAATAAGATCAAAATTTTGAAGGTTTTTACAACAAGTCAAGCTCTATTTAAGGTTACATCCTTCTTAATATCTTAATGAATTTATTTACATTAGATTTATATGTGCACTGTTAGCTTGAAGTGTTCTTTCTTAGTTTGCACCTTTTATAAAAAATAATTTACAACTTTTAAATGATCTAAATTCATTCTTGGAAGTGTTAACAGCCACATTTCGAGAAAACAATCAAGAAAAGAATTGCAGAGACAAAATTCCTATCTTCACAATTAGAATCAATATCAACTACCATCTATGCTACTAAATTCTAAAATCTTGCTTGCAACGTGAATTGGAATAATAAAGCCTTGTCAATTAATCCATGATAGAACAAGATCAATCATTTTTGTTGAGTAAAAATTAATATACATAGTAAAATTAATTATGGAATTTATATTTATTTGATTGTTTTTCTTTTCTTTTTTCTTTTTTTTCTTATCAAATGTATTTTTTATTTTATACTATCAATAACAAGCATCTTTAAATTGTATCCATGTTATAATTTAGGTTGAAAGGTGATTATTATCTTTACAATCAATTATTGTTAAAATAATTAGTTTATATATATATATATTTATTATTGATCTAAAAAATATTAACATAACTTAAAATATGCTAAATATATTTATTGATATAATATCAATAAGTGCATGTAAAAACCATTATAAACTCTTATAAAGATATCTAAAACATATGTTGCTTTATTCATAAATTTATCTAAATAAAAAATCAATCAATGATGATAATAGTAAGTTGATATAAAATAAAGAAATGAAAAAATATAATTTTTTTTTATATTTTAAAAATGTATATTTAAATATTTAAAAAAAAATTATTCCAATTAATTAGAAAATTAAGAGCCAAGAGATTAAAAAAAATTATCATTTATAATATAGCTAAAAAATTTACCTAAGTAATTAAAACTTTTATAACTTTTGAGTTGAATTAAATATTATAAATACATAAATTTATATTTAAAATCAAAAATTTAAATTATATTATATTTAATAGTATACATCTTAAAGTAAATGGTTTGATATTAAGTACTATTATTACAAATACTTAATCTATCAAATAATACTTTAATTATTTTTTTTCTAAATATGATAAAAAAATCAATGAATTAAGAAAATTTTTATTTAGATATGAAAATATTAACGATTTAAAATACTTTTCAACTATCTTTTGGCAAAATGTAAATTTATGATGGACCAAATATTATTTGATGAAACTTAGACTTAAATAATCTATAAATATATTAAAAAATTGTGCTTATTGTAATAGATATTTATATTAATTAAATATATAATTAAATAGACTTATTATCATAATTAAATGATTTATATAGGAATATATTTAAATCTAAATTATAATTATAATACTTTTAGAATATTTAATAAAAAAACGTTTCTTTATCTAATTTATTTTTAATCAAATTCAACTTATTTTTATTTATTTTATCTTGAAAAAAAACATATATAATTGTAATGACTTTCAACTATTTTTCATTTAAAGTTTTTATATTTTGCAATTCAAATCTTACAATGTTTTTAGAACCTTTTAATTTAGTTTTAATATAGAAATATATTATATTAAATAGGATTTGAATATAAGTATGTATGCCTAAAATATCAAAAAAAGTTGTAATCTTATTAATTTCATAAATGTTTCAAAATCTACAATTCAATGAAACAATTACAACTAATTATACTGGTGATAAGAAAATAGATACTAAAACTTCAAAAAAGAAATTATAATCTTATTGTACATCAAGTTTATATCTATTAAAAAATTACGTGTATATATATATATATATATATATATATTTTATATATATATATATTTTATATATATATATATTTTATATATATGCATGTAATATAATATTCCATAAATATTATATGAAATATTACTAAAAGATAAAGACGTTTTTTAAATTAATTTAATTCTTAAAATTGTAAAAGTATTGAAATTTATTTAACTTATTATTGTTGATGTCTTGTTCATATAAAAAATCGTGTCTGAACTTAATATTTATATTCCTTAGACATTGATTGTAAATTTTTTGTGGTTGGCTTTAATTTTCATTGTCCAATTTCTTTAAAAAATCTATTATTTTTCTTAAACCTAAAACCTTTCCAGTTCTGTCCAAATTGTTATTTGGATATTATATATGTTAACCATATGATATTCAAATAATTTATTTTTAATCCATAATAAAATGACACATAATTATTTATTGCTTCAATAGGACAATTGATAGGAAAATAGTTATAAAGATAATTTTTAGCCAACTCTAAATTTAAAAGATTATAGTATTTACAAACTTGAATATGAATATAATATCTTGTTTTGATTAGCATCTTATTAAATAATGTTAGAAGTCTAAAAATTACAACATAATACTAGTATTAAGAAGATATTTATGTTATCTTTAATTAAGATAAAATATTTTGTTACTTGAAGAACAAAATTTAGTTGGTATCAATATAGAAGAAATTTAAGGCAAGTTTTATGGCCAATGTTGGTTTTAGAAAAAATAATAATCTATACTTGGCCATATCAGAATATAAATACAAAAAATTTAGATACAATATGTATGTTTGTAATATCTTATACCATATATCTTGTATTTAATGTAAATCTTTGTTATTTAGAACAACCTTTGAGATATTCCAAAAGTAAAGATGGATATACATATATATAATTGACAACTTCTTAAAAGAGTTAACAAAGTTTTTTTTATTTTTTTTATTTTTATTTTGTTTTTTTTTTTTTTTTAAAACATGTTACTTAATAAAATATATAAAATAACTAAAAATAAAATAAAATAGAGATAATTTAAACCAATTTTTTTAAGTAATAAAGATATTTTATCCAAACTTAAAATTTGTTTTATTAAAATGAATTATTTGATAGAATAAATTATATAATTGATAATAAAAAAACAATTATTTGAGTTCTAACCTATGCTCCATCAAAAGCAATTAGAAAAATATTATAAAAACAGAATTATAAAAACTAAATCTAAATTCTTTTATGAATTTGATTAAAATATAGAAGGTAAAAATATAAAAACAAAGTTGTACTGAAAGAAATTGAGAAGAAAATGCATATGATTTTTCTTAATAGAATAAGTAATAAACACCTTCATGTGAAATTAACCAAATTAAAATATTTTTAAGGACTGGTGGTTTATAAAAAGAACCAGATATTAGATAGACATGGTTTAATTTTGCATTAATTTTTATAAAAACACAAAATGTTAAAAAAAAATAGGTAAAAAGATACAAAAATTTATCTTAATTTTTACCTAAAATATGCTAAAAAGATAAATAAATTACTAAATTTTAAGATTCAATTTGTATTTGAAAAGCCTTTTTAACATTTTTTTAGAAGATATTATGTATCTAACTTATTTCTATTTACTTTTTTTTACTTCTATTTATTTAAGTAGTATAGATATATGCAAATTTAGAAGATACTTACACCATTTAACAAAAATTAAGGATTAAGGATCCTTAATGCTTAAAGAAGAAAAAAAAGTTGACTTTATTTTCTAAAATTATTATGTATAGCAATATCTACTTATTATATATCTTAAATGTTAGAAAAATAGGTTGTATAATAGATTTCAGTTTTTAAAAACCATGGATTGGAATTGTCTTTGTATTTTATAAAATAAGTGCTTCTTAGCTTTGTTTTTCAATTGCATAATTTAAAATTTAGAATTAATGCAAATGAATGATATGATATGCTAAGACTAATTAAAACAAACTATTAAAAAATTGATTTTTATCAAAATTTTAATAATAAAAATATAATGTAATGTCTTAAAAATAGAAAAAAATTAAAAATATATAATAGTATGATCTCTAGCCTTATAAAATATCATGTATAAATTTAAGATTTAAAGCAAAGAATTAACAAGAACTATAAGTTTATAATATTTTGTGGTATTGTTGCAATTACATAGTTTGATTTTGAAACATATTACTTGTCTCTTTAACTATATTTTTTGACCCATACAATCATATTCAAAAGAAAAACAAAATTAAAAAATATATATATATATATATATATTATGTAGAATTTTATATTATCTAATTGTTTTTGAAGATTGCATTAGAAAAAAGTTTATGTTTTTTTAATTAACATAAACTAGCTTTGAAACTTCTTTCTAATGTAATCTTTATATACTTTTTACAACATTATTTCTCTACATAGATTGCAAAAATGCCCTCAAGCATGTAATATCTATGACTAAGTTATATCTATTATACTCAACACAAAAATTAGTCATAAAGAATGAAAATCATTAAAAAATTGTAATAATAAAATAAAAACCTTTGAAGATAATGTTTAACCAGGATTTAAGAAGTTTAAAGCAATTTAATCTTTGTGTAGAGGAACATGATTGTGGATTATATAGACACAACTAAGTGTTAAAAAAGAATATGGAAACAATCATCATACATACAAAAATTAGTTTTTTATCTAACTTTATAAACTATGGACAGATAAATTGAAATTTTATTTGTAACGAAATAAAACAACCACCAAATAATTATGAAACATTTCTTAAAAAATGAGATGAAACATAAACAACCAAAAGTACAACGAACATTAGCATCTAAGTAAAAATATGATGTAACTCTGGAGTTCCACAAACGATCTAAAAATCCATGAGGAGACAAAAGTGTAGAAGAAACCAGTTGGAATATTGTAAGATATGTCAGAATTCATGGGTTCGCCCCGCTATTGGGATGCTAAATGGATACCTTTTTCAGTCCATGCAGCAGGGGTGCTCCATTTGTGAAGCAAGAGTTCTTCTGAACATTTGAGAGCAGCTGCAGGAAAGAAGCATAGCAGAAGAAGAAGGAGAAGAAGCACAACACAGAGAGAGGCATGCCAAATCGGAACCACACATGAATGAATGGCGGAATTGAAATGAGATCTCAGTCCTTCATTCCCCATTTTCTAAATGAAATGGGTTTTCAATGCTAGAAAACTCTGCCTGGTTCCTGTAAAGCACCAGATCTGGCTTTTGAAAAGGCTACCGGATTCTTTCATTCCAAGTGTGTGAGAGGATTGCGCCGTGACCAGCAAATTGCTCAGGATGGCAACATACACATATCAAAAGCAACATAAAGGAAGGGTATGCAACAACCAACTAGCTCCTGGATCCTGTATCTTCTGATTGGCAGATATGAAGAAAATCCGATTAAAGGAGACAATTAAAAATTTGGTTGCTATTTGATAAATATTCGCATAAGCTTCAAGGTTCTTCAGATTATTGCTAGAGAATTAGCACGGGTAGTCATTTGACGATTCTGGATTCTCAGCCCTCCTGTATCACAATTTGCAGGGACCAAAGTCAGAGTGGGGATTCAAACTTTGAAAATGCTTCTAAATCACAAACGAAAAACGTTTGAGGCGAAAACCAAGGTCTACATGATCTGGGTTCTGTTGTTTTGAACTTACCCGGCCTTTGACTTTGATTCGAAGCTTCCCCAAACACGAAACGTACTATCTGAACTTCCAGATACCAGGAAGTTGCCCTTTGGATCGAACTGGACGGCTTGCACCGCATCCTCGTGGCCTCTCAGCTCAGACACTGGCACTACCTCTAAGTCGATTTGAAAACTGCACATCATTTTCATTCCCAGCACCATCAGTTCCATGCATGTTCCATGCGAATTCGTTCGCCGATTCTCTGCTTAAAGCATATCAGGCGAATCTTACCATTTGATGCGTTGGTCATTGCTAGCAATCGCAATGATGAGGCCACTGGGATCAAAGCAGCACCGGTTTGCTGACTGAGGGCCAACATTGATGGTTGCATATTCAGCGACCTTCCTCACATCCCATAGTTTCGCAATCCCGTCCGCATCCACAGAGGCTATCATGTATCCCTATCATCGTGCAACTGCCCGGCTTCAATATTCTCCGCAACCACTACTCATGTCTAAGAGTTGGGATTTTTTACTAGGATGATCGTTAGTTCGTACAGGAATTGAATGAAACAGTGCAAGAGTTCACCTTGTTGTCGAAGCATGCGTGGTTGCAGGAAGCTTTGTGACCGTAAAATGTCTGCACACATAGTGCAGATCTTGCATCCCACAGGCTTACGGTCTTGTCGCTGCTTGAAGTACAGAGGATACTGGAATACAGTTGCCACGTGATGGAATTCACTGAATCGACATGGCCCCGCAAGGTGCCGCGGCATTTCATTCTGCTCAAGAATTCCAAACCCAGACCACACCAATCAACAGTCTCGTACTGCGAGTTTACTGACCATTTTTGACGCAACATAAACTGAAGAGTCATGAAAGCAGGTTTAAGATCGATGTTCAGATAGCTTCGCTTAGTTACACGAAAAAATGAAGAACGCCAGAGATGGTCAACACTTACGAGAAAAGATCCCAAAGACGTGAAGTATGATCGAGAGATGAGCTCGCGAGTACATCGCCACTAGTATGATATGATACTGACCACACAGCCTGTCCGCAGGATATTCAATGAAATCAATGTATCAGAAAGAAAGCTTATAAAGTATTGTGTAACTCGAAGCAGTCCTGGGACCCAAGGTACCATTACATCAACAGTGATGAACCTGTGTGTGGTCTGCGAAGGTATGAATGCAGCGCGATTTCTCAAAACTCCACAACTTCACAGTGCAATCCCCGGATGTAGACGCCAAATGCATGCCTCTGTTGACTCCCACAGCTCCGTTAAAACACTAGGACACAAAATTTCAACGTGTTTCAGAAGTAAATACGAAGCAGCACAGTTCCTGGATGTAATTATTAATCTTTTGAATGCAATCGATGGAATTGCAGTCCAGAGTATCAGAACAGACTTGAAGTCTCACTTTGGATGGAAGTCAAGGCCAGACACCCAATCCTTGTGACCCTCCCCGGTCATGATAAGATCGCCGGCTGGCAACCCCCACATCCGCCATGTTCCATCGTCGGAAGCAGTGACAACGAGGGGCTTCTTGGGGTGGATTACCACACTGCAAAAATTGCAACAAGTAATTTATTTATAGTCCACATGAACACCAGAACTCCACTCCTCCAATTTCAAGGTCCGCAAGTGATGCTTGAACGAATTGTCAAACTACGAGTTCAAATGCGATGGCTGCTTACTTGCTCACAGACATATTATGGCCTCGGAAGGTGTTCTTCAACGTATAACCTCGGACATCTGTGACTGATATCCGTGCCTCATGAAAGGGGTTGATCTTACAGGCAGAAATCAAGGGATCTGGCTTCGACACTGGTGTCATGGAGTTCTTCCCGTACTTGGGTCCTTTGTAAGTCGGCGACAAAGGATTATCCTCTGTGAACAACTCTGCCTTCTCCACCTGAAGAAAAACATTGTAAGTGCAGATACCTAACGAATATCACCTTTAATTGTATGAAGAGTAATCAAGGTTTGGTACTAAGTTTCAATGTGGCGAGATCTACTATGGTTCGTAGTTTGTCTCTCTCCAAGGCCATTAGCGCCTTGGCCTTTACAGCTTGCTCGTATTTTTTCTTCAGTTGTTCCAGCAAACCATCGTACTTCCCAAAGTGGGTCCGCAACCTCTATGCATTTCATGCGAAGCACATTGAATATGATGGAGATTCGAATGTTATTGACTCTCGATATTCGTAATCAAAATCAGGCACATAAGACTAGAGCCGCAAAGGATTCAAAGCATGATGAGACATCGAGGATTTCACCTTAATGACATTGACTAACTTATTCTTCTCTTGCGCGATTCGGTTATGGTGCATCCGGTGCAAGTTTCTTTCCTTCCGAAATTTCTCCAGCATCTCTGCTCGGCATCTGTCCATCTGATTGTATCCTCGATCACTACTAAGAAGATACTCAACTTGCATCATACTTAATCTGGCACTGACTTTCTACAATTGATACAGTTTGAAATCTTCTAGGATTGTGGGAACAAATTTAGGTCCACATGGAATAGTTATAAAAATGTTTTGACACCACACACACACATACAGAAAAGTCGAGTGGAAAACGCAGACGAATGAGTAGGAGTACGTACTGAGCAACGACAGATTGTTGTTCAAGTTGGTCTTGAAGGCGCTTCAAAATGTTGGTTAGTTGTAAGGAGCGGCTATATTCATCAGGTACCATTATAAGCTTACTATCTATCACCCTCCCCTTCTCCTTCGCATCAAACCACTCTACCTGCACATAAGAAGTTCCTTTATCGTAAGAGATTCAAATTAGGTCTACTTCCACAATACACAGCCAGGTTTAATTCTTGAACGAGGAGAGAGTAAGGGTTACGGTTTGCTCTTACTTCGAACACTTCAAGCGTTTTGTGTAGATTGTATGTCATGCAGAAATTTCGTACAAAATCATCCAGAACCTCTCTCTGACGACGTACTTCCGGTACAGCAACCGACTTTTGCCCTTTACCTGCACCACGATGGCCACCAAATTTGCTTCAGAAAGAGTGTCCTGGAAAACACCATCATGCAGGGACATAAACTTGCACCTGCGATGGAGGACTGAACAAGAGTTGGAGAGATTCCGTGAGATTTCTGGTTTGAACCGATTTACCGAGAAGAAACGAAAGCTTCTGCAAAGAATGGAGGGTGGCTTCAAGATCTTCAGATTCGACATCGCCTTCTGATTCAAACTCTTCATCAATGCCCACCTCTTCGTATGTGTAGTCGCTGCCATCAAAGCTGTCATCTACACCAGAATCAACCTCTTCAACTCAGCCACGAAATTTCAACACCATGTTGCAAATGATACATCGTTAGCCCTCTCAAGATCGCTCCTCCATAATGAAGATCAGGGAAAATGAAGCCCGAGACTGAGGAAGGCAGAAAGCAGACTTGGCAGAATAACAAGCTCGTCGTCAGGCACTCCTGCGCTTGGACAAGTAGCTGTCTCCGACATGGTAGAAAACCCTTTCGAAACCAACTCCAAACTTACATCAACAATTGATCACTCATCCGGAAGGTGTCCAATCATGCAAAATTGTGCTGCTTCTGCTGCCCTGATTGGGCAAACTACAGCGGTTACCACTTCATGCTTTCCAATCCTGCTTGCTTGTCGAACAATATACAACCAAGTTCGGAGTTCGCCATTCATTTACGGATTGGAGGCAAAATCAAAACTTTTCAACACGAAGCTGAAACTTTTCAATTGCTGTAACCAACCGCTTTCATGGATTGCGATCTAAGTTTCAGCCGACTTCCGATACTGGGGCCACCGACAGAGACTGCCGTGATGCCCGGTTGGATTACCCAGAATTGGTTGGGCTGACCGACATTCCTAACGCTGTTTAGCAACTGTTTTATCGGCCATCAGGATTGCGACACCCTCGAACGTGTATCTCAAGCAGTCATAAACCATAAAAATGTATGGTGGCACTCTGTTCCTTTTAAGAAAAGGAATATCTGATTACTTTTATACATCCAAATTGGACGTGGTTAAAGACGTGAATTGGGGTAAACAAATTAATCAACCCAAAGTATTAACTTACTTTCGATAAGGCAACAGAACTTTTCTAACAGTACCACATTTTTAGTTCAGGAAATGACCAGTATAACACCAACAGAAACACGTTGTAACTTTATAAACATGAGTCTTCCATAAACTTGTTTCAATCTAGCCTTGGTTAGAGTCGCCATGTTTTTTGTGCTCCCTTATACTGATAAACATTCAACAAAGAGGCTACTGTACAGATGTGCCTTCACGGGAATCTTAGGGTACGAGTGTTCAGATGTGTCCCCTAGACCTCAAAGGTTCCAAAAGGCTTTACATCTGAAGCTTGCAGCTAATGCAGTCTCAACTTTCATGTCGTAGCAGATATGCTGTTTGATTGTTTCCCACAGAGATCAAGTGCTGCAGTCAGTCTCAATGAGCTTATTAGCACTTATTTCATGAGAGATTAGACCCCTACTTTCTGAAATTTGGTTAAATATATTTTTTGTTCTCATCCCTTTCTACTAACATTTTTTCAAGGTTCATACTACAAGCACAACCTAAGTTGCTACATGTACACCTCATATTGCTATATGCACACTCAAAAAAATTGGAGGCTTTTGATTGGCTATGTATTATTATGTGGACTTTGCCACCTAATACAATTGATTGTGGGAGATTAAGGAAGGTGGCAGCATATCTCCCTCTAGTGATCCCATTGATTGATCAACTAGTAGGGTCAAGAAACAACACCCCTTATAGGAGCCTCCAAGAAAAATTTAACTTCGCATTTTTTTTAGCAATTCTTTTGCCAATTTTAAATGATCACTATACAAAAAAATTAAAATTAAAATTTAAAAAAAAAAAAAAAAAAAACATCCAATTTTCCATCTTCTATCAACATAGTAAAGGCAAGTAGATGTTAGTCTGGATCTTGAATTCATCTTTGTCAACAAGCCCTCATGTATGTTGCCAAAAGTAGCCACTTTTATTTTTTTCACTTAAGTAATCACCTTCAAGGAGATCATGAGCATAAAGTTGGATTATGCAATGACACAACTCTCAACACTCATTTACTTAATTTCTCAATGAAGTTCAAAGTGTGTATTAATTCCATCAATCATTGCTCCATTAAGTATGGATAGCAATCTTATATTATAATCCTTTCATAAGTTGAATTATCTCAGATCAATGTTTTTTGCACCATCAATATCTTAGTTATTGTGATAATGTAGATTCTTATGCAATAAAGTTCAACTATCTAAATACATGCATAAGTATTAACTCTATGGTTCCAAGTGTTGTACCATAGTTTAGAAGTTGGTATTTCTAGTGTGTCCTTTTGTAACAATGTTGGACAACTTTTTGGTGGCTTTATTAGCATCGTCCAAGTATATGTAGTATACTACAAATTATTGTGGTACTACTCAGCTTTCTACTTTATTACTTTGTATTGATAGCTTTATAAATGTTGTGCATGTTGAGGTTGTGTTATATGTAGAAGTCACATATGGAGAATTGATATTATTGAGTCAAGTTGGTTATGAGGTAGTCAATTATATTATTTTTGCCATGACAATGTATATAGAAGTTGGGCTCTAGCACCAACTTGTGAACTTATGAGGTTAACGTTTAAATATATGATCATATTAAGTACAACTAAAATCTTGAGATGATAGACATGTTGACACAAATATTAAGTAGATTATTATATAGTTAGATTAGATTCTACTAGAGCCTAAAGAAATCTTAATACTCAATAAGAAGATAGATATTACAATCTATAATTCTTCTACACAAATTGTACCATCATTCTTTGTAAATTATTTGTAGTATATAACTAAAAAATTGGAATCTAGATCAAATTGGATTTTCAATGTCTTCTTAGAGGTGTTTGTGTGTTGTGAGGTAGTCTATGTATCTTACTTATTTAATTGAATATGATGGATCTTACTTATATATATTCTTATATAATATTATATTAAGACAATGTTTAATAACGTTAAAGCATGTTGCATCTTTTTTAGCCTTTGTGACATTTTAAATCAATTTGATTGATATATCATATTTTAAATATGACTTGAATGGTAGAAAAAATTATCTATTCAATCAAAACTTGAATTTATAAAAATTTATTAGTCTTAAGATGGCATTTAAATTAAATTAAAACTTAAATTCTTGGAAATTTATTAATATTACAATAAGATCTAGCCAAAGTTAAAACTTGAATTTAGAGGATTTTATTAGTATTAAGGCAAGATCTAGACTAAAATTTATGTGAAATAGTGGATAATATTTTTTTGTAGGTATTTTTGCAAAAAATAGGCCAAATTATAATGAATTTCTTTTTTGTAGCAAATGCAAGCACTATACTAACTTATATTCTAGGTAAGTTTTATTCTTGCTTTGAAAATCTCTCTTTCTTAATCTTTCTTTTTTATACACACATATACACAATCTCTTCTTCAAATGATTATTTTAAGTGATGTCATGCCATATGACTTGTTTCTAAACCTTACTTGTTGTGTTTTATGTTTGATAATGTAGATTTATTGCTTAAGGGGCCTGAAAAGCCTCTAAATAAGCAGTCAATAGTGTTTGAATTATATTTGAATTTAAATTTTGTCCCAAATTTCTTCTTCATTTTTTTTTAAATATATATAATTTATAGAAAGAATTATTCAAAGACATCCAAATCTAAGCAATAGATTGCAACTATATTATAGTGAGTAAGTATTCAAAAAAAAAATATGTATGCAATATTATTGTAATCTCAGCAGTGGCTACAAAACCATTGTTCTTGAGTTTTTTCAAAAGAAATAGAAGTCAATTCAAAAAAATAGTTATCTATTTGAGATTATTCCATGGCTAGATAAAATAAATAATTATTGGCACTTCAAGATTTTTAATCTTGAGCACAATCATGAACCATTGTAAATTCTTTTTAGACACATTGCATATAGAAAGTTAATGGTAGTTGAAAGTGCATGTTTTGACAATTTGATGCTTGCAAATATCTTTTCATGTGAGGTTCTGGCAATAATATGCTAATAAGATGGAATATTTGATATTGTAGAAAACACAATCTATAATATACATCAAAGATTTATCAAGACATTCTTTGATAGATGTATACTACTTAAAGCATATTTGCTAAAATTATTGAGTAGTATACATAATAACAAAATAGTAGAACAATGATCCATATTTATTTTTGCTCATCCTATCTCAATTAATTTTGTTTACATAAATTAAAAATTATTGTTGATTAATGCTACCTACAAGATCTACTTGATGCCACTATTACATATTATTGGATGCAAGGCCATCAACATCTTTTTTATGGTGGCACTTATTTTTATAGCCTTGAACAAGTTGGATCTTATTGTTTGAATGGATCAAACAATTGTTCGTTAAAGTACCTTTACCTATCACATTTGTTGTGGATTGCAAATTAGCTCTAATCAATGTATTCAAAGAGAACTTTCTATTTGCAACCATTATTTTATGTCTATGGCATATTGAAAAGAATATTATAAAAAATTACAAACAAGACTTTACAAATAAGTAATAGCAAGAGTTTTTGCAAGGCTAGAATTAAGTATTATTTATGTATTCTAAGAAAGAATTTAAAGTACAATAGAGTACTTATGTGGAAATTTAGAATAACAATTTTCTAAAGCAATTATGTAAATAAAGAATACATAGGTCAATGTACATAAAGAGATGTTCTTTGCCACTTGAACAAATAAGATTTGTCACATTGGCAACTTTATGACCTTTGCAGCAAAGGGCATAAATTACATATTTAAGCAATATCTTAGATCAAGTAAATTTTATTTTTTTACATATGCTAGTATATAGAGCTTTGCATCAAGAGCATTTATAAAGAATATGTGATACAATTCTCTAATAAAAAGATACATAACTTAATATTTTTCAATCCAATTCCTTGAAATGAGATTGTCCAAAGCTATCAACGAAGTGTTGTTTGAAAAAGTATTCTTATTATGAATTAAGAAAGGTCTACAAGTAAGTTAAACTTATACATTTTCATATCATAGGCATTATTGAGCCTTGCAAAGGGATCTACATCCTAGTACTTGGTCTGCAATGCGTTTATCTAATTCAAACTATGCTATGTGACTAGACACACTTCAAATTCAATAACTTTGACTGCCATTGGTACTTATCAAAGCTAGTAGCAATCCCTTTGTTATTCAAGAATGCATTCAATTCTTTGCTTAGCATATTAAAATAAATTTCAACAACCATCAATAATCTTCTATCATATCAATAAATTCTTGTTCTTGTGAAGCTCTAAACTTTGTAAGAACAACAACCACAACCTATTGATCAATTATGGATGGTATAGATGTTACTTGAGCTTTTGGCACAATAAACAAGCACAAGATAAAACTTTATAAAATATTTAGAACTAATAGTACACATACCACTTCAATAATAAACTTTATTTATTACACACACTTCAAATATACATGGCTTATGATCTAGCGCTATTATATTTTAAATTGGAATGTATTTGCTACCATCATATTTCCTATACAAATTCAAAATTGCTTAATATGGTGACTACCCAAATTTTAAATAGTCTATCTTCTTGATCCAAACTCAAATTGTATCTTTGACTTTAGTAGGAGTACTATGAGTATCTTTCTTATCTACTTTCAATCATTGTTTTGAAATCACCAATTAACTTTATATTATTGAACTTATTTATTTTGGCAAGTAATAATAGATAAAAAAGCATTGGCTACAAAGCAATGGTACAAGAAGAAATCTATTTGGATTTGAGCAATTTCAATACAAAGCATTGACAATGTCTTATAGTACATGCAATGATGTTCAACATCAGCAAACCAACCACATGTACCCACAATTTGGATATATAACAATAAAAAAAAAATTAAGATTTAAATTTTTTTATTAGTTTTTGAACATTGATGTAATAAAAGGTAAATAACATTGTAAAGAAAAAAACATAAGAGAAGGTAATGTAAAGCATTAGTACTACTATGTATGTTGTGGTGTTGTTTTGTACTAAAATAGATTACATTATACAAAGATTGGTTGTAGTTGATTTGAAAAGATTGAAATGGAGAAGGAAATTTTATTTATTTGCAATGACAATGAATAGTGTATTGGTTTTGCAAGAATGTAATTGTGCCAAAGATTTTTTGCTATTTGTATGCCCTATGATATATTATTATGTGAGTTATAATTATTAATTCCACCATTGCACGTCTTGACATCAAAGAGATGATATAATTGATAAACAAGTAGAAGCTATATGAATAAGACCTAAAAATTTAGTTGTATGCTATTAAGTTGTATTAACATACTCATAAGTTTTTTTTTAAAAAAAATTCTTCTCTATTGGATCTATACACTTCTTTCAAAAAAAAAAAAAAAACTATTAAGAAAGTCTAATAATCTTTTAATATGAGCTTTACACAAGTAATATGGCACAAGTACTTCAACAATTCATATTGTTATATCAAGTGACTCATCTTTACAGATTGTATAATACTTATGCTCTAGATATAACTTTTTTTGGTGATACTAGCTTATCTTTTGCACTTATTACGATGACCTCTCCTTTTGATGTAATATTATGTGCTTGCACTATTGAGATGTTTTATGTACCTCTTTTTTTATACAATTATTTGAAGATATTCAATTAAATTTAGATTTTATATAATTTTTAAAAATAATGTATTTCTCTTCTTTTAATCCATTTACATGATTACTATCTTTTTTCTTTAGAAAAATCTAACAACAATATTAACTTAATAGATTTGAGTATTGTAATAGATGATTTCTTCTATTTCTATCAATTATTATTGAAAAAAGATGGATAAGGCCATTGTTGCATTTGCTTGAAGAAAGGAACATTTTCAATTAAGAGATAGATACAACTTCATTAATCTTGTTAGCCATTCATTGAGATCAAATAATACAGTTGCATAAAGAAAGAGCTAGCAATATCTTCATTTACCTTTTGAGAAATCATTCTATATCTATGAAGATTTAAATAATAGTTCCTCTAATATTTTAAGGCTTAAAGGTACATAATACTTTCTTTGGTCTTGTAATTTCTTCTAATGGAAAATTTTGAATAATAACAAGTTACATATATTTTATTAAATGTCTTTTTTATTTTCTATAGAGAGAATTGAGAATATAGATGAATTATGCTAATTAATTTGGGATACTTAATATTCTTATTTGGTGCATAGAAATGGACAAAAGAACAACATACTACTAACATACTTTGTGCAATTGACTGACATGGTTAGGTTTGTGATGTTTGACAAAGCTCAGATTGAAGTTGCAAAGATAATTACAAGGTTTGTAAAATTAGTTTCAAAAGCTCAAATTGAACTTGTCAATAAAGATACTATCAAATCATTGATGAATCTAATCTGCAATGTAGTAATCTTTGAAAATTGGCAAAAAAATTGTTGAGACTAGTGCAAAGTTAAAATTTACTTTGAGATGGCTCTACTTCCAAAGGCCCTCATAAGAGATGCTGCCCCTTGACCTTGTTTGTTGATGGATCAATTGGACCACTAAAGAAGGAGGCTACTATCCTTTCAAATCTCCTCCCCCTCTCTTCTTCAATTGTATTAGGTAGCAAGATCTACATTATAATATTCAACCAATTAAAAGTCTTAAATTTTTTTGGATGTACATATGAGATGTGCATGTAACAACTTAGGGTATGCTTGTAGCTTGAGTCTTTTTTTAATATTAACAACTGTTTAAAAGTCACTTTTAAAAATTCATCAACTTCACCTTAAAGAACAATTTAAGAAAGAATTTTTATTGCTCTGATTTCTTGTAGCATTCTTAGATTTTATATAGCTTTTTGAATCAAAGTTTATATTTCTAACATGACGTGATTATATTCTTATTGCAATATGCTATGGAAAAAGTACCAAAATCCTTATTGTAATATCTTCAAGAATTGTTTTTCAAATATAACTAACTTTTGTTATTATATTTTTTCTATACTAAAAATATGTCACTTGTTATCTTTGCCCATAGCATGAGCCATTGCTCAAGTCTTTTTGCAAAGCACACAATCATTACATATTTGGCTAAATTTTTTCTTCAAATTGGTATTAGTTCAATCAATCCACAAAGAATATGTACAAAGAAAGTATAGTAACTCTATAAACAAAACTACCATTAGAAGGATGCACTTTGCCCTCTTGCTTCTTGCTTGTCCACTTGTTTCATACACTATCTAAAGAGCCTATTTCTTGAATTAAATTTTTTTTCCTTGTTGCTCTTTTTCATCACAAAATATTGTTGCACATTTTACCATCTTTACATCCCCTATTGTAAAACCCTTGTTGAGGAGACCTGATCTGAAGAAGAAGAAGAAGAAGAAGAAAAGGAGAAAAAAAAAAAAAAAACAAACAAACAAAAAAAAAAAAAAAACATTTAGGTTTTCCCTTGCTAGAACACTTAGACGCTGATAAACAGCTGTCATGCACCGTGCACGCTAACCCAACCTCGACAGGAGAAGCTATCTTGCAGACACTAGCATGGCAGCAGTTACATCTACGCTGGCCACAGACCGTAGGTCAATACCAAAACCAACCGTACTGCAGAGAGAAACTCAACCCGCCAATGTTCTTCAGCATGCCCTCTTGATAGAATTTTCATGTTTCACGAGAGAATTTTAAAAAACTTCTAAGGTATTAAAGATTGCAGACATGGTACGTGATTTACGACTCGAAGAATCAATAGCTTCAACAGCGGTTCTAAATCATTTATATCACAAATAAATAAATAAAGACAAGCACGTGTTCGGGATACTGAATGAGACACTGTTGGAAGTTTTTTGTAATTGAACATTGGGGTACTCAGAATTTCAATACAGCACCCGCAGTATCGCTCTCAAAATGAGAGCATGGCAAGGGTCCATCATGGAGCAGATGAAGCAAACACTAAGCAGAGTCATGAACGCACCTGCACACACAAACTGAGAGAACTTAATAAACAGTGAAAACATCCCTCAAAGATTTTTGAGATTATGTCCAATGTCACCGAAAAAACATTTCACCATCCGACACGTTCAGATTTGATCAATTAACACTATAAGTGCGTCTAATGGGTGGGACAGACATAGAAAAGAAGAATCTCCACTGACGATGTGGATTCAAACATGCAGAATTCAAGTTCAGCTGTTTTCATTGCAATAACGTCTAGGATCATCACTGGAAGTATCCCGTTGAATAGGTGTGTTACATGTGTCATCTCAAATAGACGTCCTTTCAGCAGAGATGGCCTCGACTCGAGCGAGTGAACTTCCGTCAGTTCGAATGCATTTAGTTCAGCTCTGCAGCCAGCCAACTGTCATAATGACTGGGGAAAGATGAGTTGCAAGCTTAAAGGTCAAACATGCTCTTCAGCAGCACCAGCTGTATGCGTTGGGCATTAAACGAGCAAGGTATGAGATAGTTTTTGCATATGTTGAACCTGGGAAACCACACCAAAAGCACACACATCTCCGATTACAAGGGGCAGATACTCTTCTGCAAACATTAAGACAGCCATGCCTTGAAGTCGTCGACTCGTTATCATTCCATTTCAGCTTGGAATTCCCAAGCTGGGCACTGTTCCTTAAGGCCTGACGGACATGACCACTAGACTACTGCACCCAAGTTGAACTTAAATGGTACCAAATAGCGAAAAAAAAAAAAAAAAAAAAAAAAAAAAAAAAAAAAAACAGAAAGCAACCTGTAATGGTTCGCGACGACGCGATCCTGCTAATGCGTTCGTGGACAAGCTTGGCCACATTCCTAGTTAGGCAAAGACAGGCTTATCCAAACGAACAACCGAACACATAAAATCACGTAGTTATGTGGACATGAAAACCTGAGATGAGCATTACGTGATTAATGCCTGTATATCACTTACAAAAAAACCTCTAAATGGTAATCTACAGAGTAAATTAAACTGCAGGTTTACTGCAGAAGAGGCAGGAGCTTGCTGAAAGGTGGTGTCACGTGGTCCATCTTAGTCGTCCAAGCTGAAATCCTTGAATGATGACGTGGTGTGCTGTCAAGGGTAGTCACCGACCCTTCCGAATTTACAGACTCGCTCGGGCTGGAAACTCTCTTGCTTCCAACAATTTGACCCGCTTTGGCTCCTTTCACTGTCAAGGTCAGGTCAAGTTCAAGTTGATCAGCTCGTGGAGTAGTTATCAGATGTTCTCTCGCTGCTTCTTGGAGTCCAGACGGATTCACCAATGAAAAGTCCACTCTGGCCTTCACCCTTCGAGGAGATGGACACACTGCATGTGTTCCATACAAATCCAAGAAGCCTAATTCTTTGGGTTTGAACATCCTGCGCTCATACAAGTCCTTGGGAGTGTGATTCTTAATATCTCTAGAATAATTTATGCCGCTTGGCCAGCTGAGCATCTGATTCACGTTTTGTCTTCGAACAGATTCTTCGTGCCATCCTTTCATGGCAGCGTCGAGTCCGCCATCGACGTACTTTTCGAGGTCACGACTTCTTGGGAGAGAGGATGCGACACCGAGTCCGTTATTCTCACGTTCCGGAACCGGTTCTGTAACAGATCTGGATGGAGGTGTGCTTGCTCCTTGTGCGTCATCGTCTCCTCTGACAGGTAGAGGGGTAGTGAACTTTGGAAACGCGTTGAATGCAGGAAATAGCACCTTGTTGGAACTTTGATTTGCAGGTAAGCAAGAGGACAAAGATGTAGTAGACGGGGGACGAAGGGTGCCGCCTTTAAGAACTGTCTCTACAGCCGTCTGACAGGCTTGCCAATTTCCGCCCGAAAGCAGTCCCACAGCCCCGAATACTGGATTTACTGTACGTCCACAGGCTTCGTACAGCAGTGACTGGAACAGCGCTGCAAAAGCGAAAACAAGGAACACAGGTTATGCAATTGGACTCGGATCAGTTATGAAGTTTGACAACTCCGCACGAGAAACAATGGTTTAAGTGATCACCGAGAAGAGAGAAAGTAAAATTTCACTCTCAAATCTAGGTTCGTACCTATGAAAGTCTTAGCAAAGGGTACTGGGGACCAACTTAGATTTCATATTCTAAGTTACTTAAATTGTAACAAAATATGTAAAATAAAGAAACAAGACACTCCCTAAGCATGCCCATATTAACCATGTGAACACTCTACGAGGGACATGCGTCGATTTTTCTCAAGACACACTACACTGCCTAATCTCTTAGTATTCTCTAGAATTTATGTTTGCCTGTAAAACACTCAAAATCATCTAGGAAATTCATAACTTCTCGATCAGCATTTTCTCAGAGCTATTTTTCCAGTACCGCATCAGCACTTTTCAAACGTCTTTCTGAACCACCTTGTTACGTGCAGTGTGTGTTTTAGTCTGTTACATTGACATCATAACCTGTGCGTGACAAATGAGGCGGATGCTAACCAGGGCGTTCAGTCTCATGTACTGCACTAATAAAACCCATGAGACCTGCGCGGCCGAAGAACTTTGCCACGAATACGGTAGCATGTCCTTGGGCATCCGCGCTTTCGATCCATTGCAGGCAATGACGGAGTATGCAGGTGTCGCTGCAGCCTTTGCGCAACACACGACACCCATCGCAACTCATCTTTTACCGTGCGATCCGGTCCTGTGCTTACACTGTCCTTCGTCCCTCCTCTTGCTTCCTTTAAGCTCAAATAAAGTTAATCTCAAGTATACTAATTTTATCCTAGAGTCCGTGATTCTTGATGCAGCTACACCACACGGTAACCAGTCTCTTCCCTGAGAGCAAGAAAACATGTAGACAGATCACAATTAGTAGGCTAGCAACTTAAAGAAAAAATCAAAGAGCAACTGTTTAATGAAATAAAAAAACAAAAAACAAAAAACAGAACATGTATGGTCCCCAAACTAAAGCTTAACCGATTACCTATCGACTACGAAATCGCTGGCGAACTGCTGAGAGACAACAATGCGGCAGCACCCCAGTGTGATGTGATCGAACCAGTTTATAAGTAGTGATGAGGTTAATAACTCGACTAAACAGTCACGCCGCCACATGAAAATGCATCCGTGAATTTTTAACGTGCAACTATTTTTAAAACGACGAAGAATTAAACTGCGGATCTAGTAACTATTACACACGAACTCTATTCACTACCTGCCTCCAGAAGCCTGTCCAGCTGCTGCTCCCGCTCTAACTGCGCAGGCTCACGGTCGATGTTCTAAGGCGGGACACTCCCACGGCTTCGATACTCGTTCTAAGAAAGGATCAATGGATATCCTCCACGACTGAAGAACATGTAGTACTATTATCATGCAGTGATTTCCAATTCTCTGGGTAAGATGATCGAGGAAAGTTAGTGACAGATTCTTGTACACGATTGCAACATAGAAATCCGTCTGAACCAGGTAGCTGAACTGACGAACGTTGTTACGGGGGTGCTTGTATCTTAAAAATTGAAAGCCTTTTTTCTCCTCCCAAGTGCCCTTCCTCAAGGAAACACTGGTCAATCAAGACAAAGCCTATTCATGCCAGCACGCCATGTCACACTTCTGCGACCTACGCTGCAACTAGGATTATTTTCAGCCCGTCCGACTCAGCGCGACGAAGAGTATTCAAAGCTCTTCGAACACTGCCAAATTTGTTTTACTAGTGGGTATCCTCAAGTCTATTGAAATCTAGCGACAGCAGTAGACGCAAGCCTGTACAAAATTTCTCGTGGAGGCAGGACATGCAGTGATACAACATCGAATGTACAGAACTGCTCTGCAATCACCTGAACAGCAACTGAGGTACGAAATGATTCCTGGAACATCGAAGCTCTCCTTGAAAATAATAAAACTCATAAGGTTGTAGAGAAAAACTCCCTCGGCACCATATTTAGGCAGAGGACATACCACAAGAAGGCACTGCTTGCACAGATAAGCTATGAGAGTACCGATTCGTTACAGAGAGGGGGTCCACATCTTTCATGATCCGCTCATGAGTAGCATGGTATTAATTCAACCAATATCCACCACGGGGTGTATCGATCGTAACGAAATTTCAGAAGAATGTGCAAACTAAATTGTCCAGGTCTTCGAGAACATAGAGTGAGTATTTCATACCTTCGGTCCCTGTATCGAGAGCGTCTTGGCTGGCTGGCGAGGCTATCGTGCTTCGTGTACAGACACATACCAATGATGTTGCTAAACGACGGGAACTATTTATGAGGATCCGACGCACTCATTCGCGACTTGGAATGGCCACCAGGACCACCCTGGTCAATGTTTCAGGAACACCAACTCCGAACTTGATCGCAATAAACTGCGCCTGTGATCTTGACACCCTTTGCTACCTTAGTCTTCACCAATCCAAGTTGATGTGGAACTTCCACTTTCTGATGCTTCGGAACCGAGTCCGCATCAATAATCTTTCTATATAGTCCAAAGCCTGTTTAGGAAGATCCGTAACACTTAGGGGGGCGCTACACACCACTACAAAACTCCTCCGCAAATCTCCACATAAACTACTGACACCGCCGCTACAGATACATCAACCTCTCGCAAAACCACAAGCAGTACACTTCTCTTTCTTCACTTAAATCCACCGCACATCCGTCGCAAGCAACTGCCTCTCCAAACACGGATTTCTCAGGGATGATTGCACGTTTGCGCAGAAATCGACAGCGATAACTGCAAATAAAAGCGAAGTTTCTACTCCTCACATCCGAACACCAGCCAAAAGAAATCTGCAACGACAGCGATGGCACTAATCAAGGGGTGCAACGCCCTTCAAGCGTTCGATCCACGAAAATGCGCTTTCGCGCGCGGCAATCAATCAATCAATCAATGCAGCAACCTTCCTTCCCAATGGCAAGCAACATGGTCTTCCCTATAGCGAACTTCCTTCTCACTGCGTTAGGATAAACGTCCTCTCCGCACGACCCCGCCTCTTTTCATCACCATCATCCGCCTCCATGCTTTTTCAAACCTGCCGATGCACTGCTGCCCGCTCCCGGCCTTTCTGCCCTCCCGGGCAGCGCCCCCATCTTGGCTCTTGCCGCACTGAAACGACGAGCAAGGAAGGCAAAGGGAGGGAGTAGTGCCGCCAGCCCCCAGTCCCCACTTCTTCACCACCACCGTGTGGGGAAGTGACAGCCCCTCGTCAAATCAAGGCTTCCTCGCCACATCTTCAGGCCTCCTTGATTCTCCAGTGCAGCACACACCAGTTCAGTACAGTACAGAAAGAAGAAAATGCAACTTGGGGGGCAGTGTCAGAGGGGAGGGAGAGGGATTGACATGAGTAGTAACAAGACTTGAAAACTTCCCCACTCTTTTGCTGCTCCTTCTCCCCCCCACCCATTCCTTTGAGCCACCACCCTCCCCAGCCATTGCCATCAATCATATCATATCATGTCATGGAGCTCCAAGGATGGTTGGATGGATGGCTTCCATGTTTCCCTTGGGTACCCTCTTTTTTGCATAGTGCTTTCACCCTGTCACTCCTGATGAGCACAGAGCTATTAGATTTTTTCAAAGGCATAGTACTACACTAACCTTTGGGGTATCCTTTGGGCATGCTCTCACTAATCTAAAAATAGGTGTGGTGAGGAGACGTCCTGTGGATCAAAGTTTTAAAAAACAAAACATGTTGCTTGTATACAGTTGTATTTTCTTACAAACTGAAGTGGACAGTGCCATACCAGAGAATCAAAATCATCGTAGATTTACATTTTGTCTAGATAAATAAATATAGCATGAAAATCTGGGTCCAAAGTTTTACCCCAAGATTTTTCCAGGATTGTTGTTTAAAAAATCCACAGACAAGGTCAAGCTTCCAAACTAAATTATGGGAGAAGTGAGATACATATACATATATATATATATATATAGAGAGAGAGAGAGAGAGAGAGATTTGTTGATGTTATTATTTTCTTATCATTATTGATCACATGCAAGAGTTTTGTAAAACATAACCTATCATTCATAATTCATGAATCTGTACCAAATCTAAAGCTTGGTGGTCAGAGAATTCTTCATAAAAACTGATAACTACTGCCAGGAGACAGGGAGTAGAGACAAACCCAAATAAGAATAAGGGAATGGGAACTGGGTAAGGACACAAGTCATCAGTTCTCTCTGTCTCTCAGTCAGGACCATGTGTGCCTGGTGTGCAACACACAAACAGGTACTACCTCTGCAGCCTCACTGAGAGAAAAAGAAAAAGAAAAGACTCCAATCACACTGGGCAGGACCCAAAGCCAAGGCCCTAGGTACATGATCTCATCAAAGTACCCCTTGCATGATGTTCTGGCATGACTCCTCCCCTCATCAAAGCCCAACCAACATTGCTTCCCTTATGTCAAAAAAAGCCTGCTTCAGGACTCCATACTTCAATGGACTTGTTTTAGTGAGTGTAAAAATATATTGTTTTTTTTTTTTTTTTTTTTTTTTTTTGTAATCCTTTGGAATAGTAGGATTGTGTGTTTGTCAATGTTTGGCTGTTGAAAGCAGATGTATACAGCTGGTATTTGTAAGTACGTTTTATGATTATTACATGAAGTTAAATATGTCCTTTCAGCTATGAAAAAGTAAGTACACTGTGAGTACATTTTTGTTTATTACATGAATGGTGAATAAGTTTTTGCTCTTTTGTATACTTTTACTTCAATTTTTTCCATATCCAGTGAACATTGTTAACCCAAAGAATCCAATGAAATCCAGTGAGATAGAAATTGGATTTTCTTTTCTGAAGGATGGTGTAATGGTTAATATCCTTTAATTTAAAACTCTTGCCATGTGTGTACAAATGAGAATAGCCTCTTTGCAGTTGGACTTAGGTGAACAAGATATTGTGAATCTAGTGCTAGATCCATATAAATCTACTATAATTAAAGAGCCCAAATGATAACAAGAGTCATTCACAGCTAGGGCAGCATTGGACCCTCAAAATAACATAGATACTATGAGAAGGGTAAGTTCCAAGTTAGGTGGGGGATTTTCCACTGAATGGTATGCAGTAAGGATGTCAAAGTGGCAACTTTAGAAGCTGCATAAGAAGGGTGTAGGACTTCCAATGCAATACACTTGGTTGTGCAAGAACATGTTTGTATTTAAAATGAACTCAGCCAGAACGTGGTATAATATGAATTAATTAAAATTGATTGACATCTATTAAAAAAATAAGTTAATTCTTTTAAGGATCTAAATCTGGAAAGACATTTATCTTTGCAATTTCAAAAGACAATACACTTCAATAGCCATTTAGCAGTCCAATAAAATGTTCTCAAGTTTAAATTTAACATTTTAATATTTCTTTTTGTGGTTTCAGCACAATGATTATGCATAAATATATACTTTTTCAACATCAATTGTTGCTAATTAACACTCTAGTCACTTCCATGTAAACACACCAAATCAATTAATAGTGTATAAAAGTTGCCCACCATATTAATGAGACTCCTAAACTTTCCAACAAATATATGGTAATTTTTATAATCAATAAATAGATTTATTTATTTATTTATTGAAAGGTTTCAGTGTGTCTCATTCTTCTATTATTCTTTCCTTTTTGAGATTAGGTTTCACTTGACAGAACTCGAATATACATAAGTTATCTATGATTATCAATCCATCATATTAATATCAATCATTATAAGTTAATGTTACTTTATTTCATTTTAATGGAGCATAAAAAAAATTTATATATTTTGGTTGTTCTGCATTAGTACAATTAATAATAGAATTATATATTTTATAGTATAAGATAAAAATATTTTTATTGCTAAAACATTATTATGTAAAGTATTATAATCAAAAGCTGTAAATTGATATGATACATATTTTTAAAACCTTTACTTGAAATAAAACCACTCAAAAGTCTTGTTGCAAGTCATTAGTTTATCATCATTTGATAAATAAGTATAAATATACTATTTGATAAGCATCTTAAAACAAAAAAGAAAAAGAAACAAATAGAATTTTTTTGATTAATGTTAATTTTAAATCAGATTAATGCAAAACTTTAAAAAAATCTAAAAAGAACAAAGCTTGATTATATTTATATATTTTACCTTAAAATATAACTAATATTGTTATTAAATTTGTATTTTAGATAATCAAATTTATATTACTAATAATTATTTATAATAAAGCCTTACAATTCACTACACCTACAATAATAATAATTTTAAAGAGTAGTGTGGCTCTTATATATAACTGGGATGAGCTTGAAATTTTATTTTTAGCCTCATTTTTTATTATGATTTAAAATTTAAAATTTATATAATCATAATAGCATTATTTTTAATTCTAAAATCATTCTAATATTTTAGTGTTTATTTGTTTTTTTCATTTAAATTTATATTTATATTAATAATATGATATTTGATATTTCTTGATTTCTAAAATCATGGCTATTCTTATGAATACTTAAAAATTAATTAATATTTTTAGTTCTAAAATTAACAAATTACATATTATGTATATTTATATTACTTATAATACAAGCTTTTTAAGCCTAAGATCACACTTGAAACATGACTAGTCTATCTTGAGAGTCTAAGATCCTTCTAATTTATAGTAACATAAAACCTCATCACAAAGTAGGAAAAAATGGACTAGAACAAAATTGAGCAGAATTAAACAAAATTGGTTATAAAAGATAAAACTATGTAAACAAAAATAGAACAAAAAAAAACTGAAGAAGAAGATGCAAAATCAAACTTTACAAAGAAAGAAGGTCTAAAGCCATATCTGATCAAATTTCCAAAAAGTCCTAGCTAATCTTATTTATATTTTGTTTTACCACCCTCGACTTTCTAGAATGTTTTTAAATAATATACCCTACTTAAATAATCCCTTTAAACTCCTTCTAGAAGGTTCTATGGTAGATCCCACCTAAATAACTGTCCTAAGATCTTTCTAGAATATTCTATGATAGATCCTAAATGATCTATTAACCTAGCACCAAATCTAAAAACTTCCATAATTTTTCAAGCATGGTTCCAACTATCTATTCGTATGCATCAACAATACAAATATCTTATCTATATCCTGTTACAATTAATCTCCCTCCACTAATGTGGAATATCATCATTTTACTTTCAATGATATCTCAAAATTGTCTCTTGGCAATAGGTGAGGTTTTGTACAGGTTCCTTCATTGCATTGTAGATGTGACAATCTTTCTAAAGAACTTTGTATTGAAGTTGTAGACCTCCATTGCTACTACAAAAGTAGCAATATTCCAAAATGTTATCTACTTCATATCCTTGTTAATCATCAACTACAACTGGTGGTGGTAGTGGTTGATATCAATTCAGAAAGCACTTTGGCTTGATATGAAATTCTTTCAATTATAAAATATAGAAGATTGAATGGATCCAAATATGTAGCACAAGTTCGAGATAATATACAATATTAGAAATCATTGCAAAAGTTTAGAAAGATTTAAGCTACTAAGGTGCCACTTTACAGACTTAAGTTGATGTTACAAGTGGCAAGTTGGCTTTAGAGAATAACACTTGATTATCTTTTTAGAAGGTCTTATGCTGCCAGTGGTTATTTGCATATGACTTCTATTAATTCTATGTGATAAGGAGGCAATGTTGTGCCTCTTATAAGGCTATTATAAGCCATTATATAAACTCTTCTATTGTTGGATTGTTAGTATCGATGGAAAAATAGAAAATTATTGGCATAATTGGATGTTGAGTGGTATTAAGAAAAAATGGTGAATGATTGATGCTTGCTTGAATACTATCATTGTAAGCAAATTCCAAGGACGTCAAATATTTATCTCAATCATTGTGATGAACTACCATAAATGCCTACAACATACCTTCCAAGTTTTGATTTGCATGCTCTATTTGTCCATTTGTTTAGAGATGAAAGGTTATAAACATGGCAAGTGATGTACTTAATAGCTTGAACAAGACTTGCCAAAAGCTTCTCATGAAGCATAG